GTCTCTCTTCTGTGACTGGCTTGAAGCCCAGTACCTTGCCCCAGTGCATAGAAAAACCAAGTGAAAGTGCCTAGAATGGTGGCTCCATAGACTTAGTCAGCACTATACCAACTCCCATATTTACAGATAAACAAGTAGTTAGATGCATACATAAACCAGTGTGTGCATATGAGTGTATTTATATCAGACTCCAGATGGGTAGAGAAAGAAACAGATATTATTTAGATCAGAGCCAGGATTTTGGTTTCAAACTACTTTAGTGCTAGAGGTAAAAACAGACATGGAAGCCCAGTCCCTCCCCTATCTACTGCCAGGCATAAATGGGAGGGCAAGGGCCTTCTCAGGAGCTATCACTTTCCTTGGGTGTCTCCTCTTACCATTTGGTGGATTGCGTTTGCTAAATGGTGAGAAAATTAATGCGATAATAAAATTTCACAAAACTACAGTTTTGCTCTGTTCAGGCTATGTGTCACTACTCACCCGATTCCCCTTTCTCATTTCTGTTTTCAGAAGAATACTCCCTTCCCAGTGAATCAGATTTCTTTGTTACCTTCAAAGATAATTAAGTGGGACTGGGTGCAGTGGTACATGCCTGTAAGCCCAGTGACTCTGGAGGCTGAGGCAGGAGGATGGCGTTGTTCAACTTAGCAAGACAGTGTCCCAAAGTAAAAAGTATTGGGGATTTGGTTCAATGGTTAAGTGCTCCTGGGTTCAATTCTCCAGTACCAGAAAAAAAAGAAAAAGATAATTAGGTGGATCTTTTGATTTAAGAAGTTCACAGCACTATAAGAAAATAACTAGGGACTGTTCCATGAAAGAATGCAAAGCCCAAGGAGTCCTTGAAGTTCTGGAACAGGCTTGTCGTTTACAATGTTTTTTAGATTCCATGTTTTGATGGGGCTTGTTACCTAGGCTGTTGATATAGAATGGCATCTTTTCTCAGTGGAAGATGCAATCCAGCCAGATTCAAATTCCTCTTCTCCCAAAGTGATATTTGAATCATTAATGATTTTTTGCATGGAAGGCATCTTGTTTACTAGACTTCTGCCCCACCTGGAAATGATCACCCTGGGCTCTTCTCAAACCAGGACATTAATGCCTGTCTCTGGTCCCATAGTATTAAGAGAGCTTCTCTTTTCCTCATGTCTACTAGATGTCAGAAATTGCATCAGAGACTTTACAAATGCAATCTTCATAATAACTCTATGAGATGGATTCAAGTATATGCATTTTATAGAAAAGAAGACTAAATCAGAGATTCCAAGTAATGTATTTCTATTGGGAGAGGGCAGATTTTTTTGAACCTTGAGTAGCCTGATTGTATTGCTCATGTTAAATTTGGATTTTCATCTCTAAAGCCATTTCTTGTTACATCATGTACTGCCTTCTGAATGTAAGAATGATTTTAATAACCTGTAGTTGCTAGATTGATGAAGCAACATCCTGACGTTTAATTCACCTTGTGGCTAGCAATCCATATTTGAGAAATATCTGAGTGACTGATATAGGAAACAGAATGAATCTAATTAGATTTTATGAAGCCAGAGACTTGAAACCTTGGCTTCAGGGACAACAGAATTTAAGCAGGTAAACTAAATAAGAACTCAGACTAGTATTGAGCCACTTAGTAATTTACTTATCTCAAATTAGTAACTTGAAAGATGAGTTAGCTACTCTCATTTCACCTCTCTTTGAAATTCTAAATAGCTTGAAAGATTTGTACAGCTTCCAAACTGACTTCATTAAAACCAGAGAGTAGTTGGTGTTTGGGGAGAATTTAACACCCTCTACCTAATTGTGTTTCATGTTTGTAAAGTTATTGGATTGGCATAGATTTTTTTTTAAATGTTATTCATAGAGAAAAAAAAATGATTCTAAGATGTTTAATATTTAGAATGCTAAAATTGTTTTCTCTGTCAAGTTTGACTGTAAATCCATAAAAGGATATGCCCCCAAACATGACACTTAGTTAGATCTTAGTAAACAATTGTGCCATGAATGAAGAATGAGTTGTTAGTTTAGTATTACATGTAAATGTGTTTATGCTGGCTTTTATTTTTTATACAGCATTTCCTTTGTCTTCGTATTCCTCCTTGGCCAAAGAATGCTTGTCCATGAACGAAAAAAAAAAAAAAAAAACTGTCTAAAAGATGCTTCACTGCTGCATGTTCAAAATTTGTGCAAATGTTAATTTAAGATACCTTTGAGAGCACCTTTTATATGCCTGTAATTTAGAATCTCATTTAAGTTTATTCTCATGTCCCAGTCTCACATCTTCTGATTGCTTATTCAAGATTTAACTATTTTCAGGGCCCCTTCTTTTGAATTCCAGTTTCCTCAACCTTTTAATATATTTTTTAATATATAAGAATAGTAAATGCTGCCAAGTGAACAAAAACGTAAAGGTTGAACCTGTCACATCACTACAACATATTGAGGCAATTCTTTGAAAGTTAATGTATTTCAGTGACTACTGGGAACCCAGATTCTATGAGGGACAAAACTTGTCTGTCTTATTTTTTTGCTCTCTTTTTAAAATCATTTTTTAATTTTTAATTTTAATTTGTTATATGTGACAACAGAATGGATTACAATTCACATTACACATATAGAACACAATTTTTCATATCTCTGGTTGTACACAAATTAGAGTCACATCCTTCATGTCTTCACACCTATACCTAGGGTAATGATGACCATTGTATTCTACTGTTTTTCCTACCCCTACGCCCCTTCCTTCTTCTCCCTCCCCTTTTCCTCTTTGCCCTATCTAGAGTTCATTTAATCCTCCCACCCCACTGCCCCCACTCCCAGCAGCATATTATGAACCAGCATCTTTAAATCAGAGAAGTCATTCAGCATTTGGTTTTTTGGGATTGGCTAATTTCACTTAGCACTATATTCTCCAGCTCCATCCATTTACCTGCAAATGCCATGATTTTATTCTCTTTTAATGCTGAATAATATTCCATTGTGTACATATACCACATTCTCTTTATTCATTCATCTACTGAAGGACATCTAGGTTGGCTCCACAGTTTAACTATTGTGAATTGTGCTGCTATAATCTATTTCCTTATTTTAGATAACCAACAGTAATTCAGGCTTAGTATATAAGTGTTACAATGCTTGGTTATGACTATAAAAAATTGCATATTATGGCTATCCAAAATTGTACAAAAGTATGAAGTTTGACCAGGTACCTAAAAAGGTTTAAACCTATGGCAATTTTTTTTTCAGTTTTAGTGGACACAACATCTTTATTTTATTTTATGTGGTGCTGAGGATCAAACCCAGCACCCCGTGCATGCCAGGCGAGCACGTTACCGCTTGAGCAACATCCCCAGCCCATATGGCAATTCTTCAGAGCATTATTTCCTAAACTTCATCGATTTGAGTTATACTTTTTGATTTTGTTCATATGTGCTTATTACCTACAGATGGTTTATTTTTATTTTCATTGAATTGGCTCAGTAAACCTAAAATAATGAATTTAGCCTCCACTGAAGTAATATAAATTTGTAATGCCAATAGTTTATATTTCTAATAAATGTTAAAATAAATACATAGTTACTGAACTAAAAAAAACTCAATCAATTAAAATCATCCCTCATAACCCCTGATCTTCCTAATCACATCCTGAGACTCACTGGTTTAGTGATTGCTTTGGGGTTCACACTGAGCATATTCTTAGTGGGAGAAGGAGAGAACCTGGCACCATAGGTCATCAGTTTTTGGACACCTAACTTTAGGACAGAAAGTAAAAGATATAGAGGAATCCTCATGCCTCTGTTTACTTCTAAGGACCACAATCCAGAAGTTGTTAACAGTGAGCAGCAGTATTATTATTATTATTATTATTATTATTATTATTATTATCATTATTATTATTATTTTGTATTCGGGATTGAACCCGGGGGGGCTTAACCACTGAGCCACATCCCCAGCCCTTTTTTGTATTTTATTTAGAGACAGGGTCTCACTGAGTTGCTTAGGTCCTCACTACCTTGCTGAGGCTGGCTTTGAATTGCTGGGATTACAGGTGTGTGCCAGTATCACTAATAAAGCCTCCATCTTGTGAGGAATGCAGATGTGTTGTATTCCTTTTTTAAAAAATTTTATGTATTCTAATTTGTTATATATGACAGCAGGATGCAATTATGTTACACAAATAAAGCACAATTTTCCATGTCTCTGGTTGTACACGAAGTAGAGTCACACCATTCATGTTTTCATAAATGAACTTAGGATAATGATGTCCATCTCGTTTCACAGTCTTACCTACCCCCACGCCCCCTCCCTTCCCCTTCCTCCCCTTTAACAGAGATATCCTTATTACATGAATGGATAAAGAAAATGTGGTATATATGCACAATGAAATATTACTCAGCATTAAAACAGAATAAAATCATGGCATTTGCAGGTAAATGGATGGAGTTGGAGACTATAATGCTAAGTGAAGTAAGCCAATCCCCAAAACCCAAATGCTGAATGTTTTCTCTGATATAAGGATGCTGATTGATAATGGGGATGGGGGGAGCATGGGAGGAATAGATGTGTTGTATTCTAAATTTGGGCAAGCCTTCTTACTGTAACCATGCAGGGAGCTGGAGAGTTGTGACATTCCCAAGCCTCTGACTCTGTGGCTGCTTCTTTGAATCTTATCTTTGCTGTGCTAACATCCAAATAGCAGTATTGTTGGGATGCTTTTGACAGCTATCCAGAGAACGCCCAAAGAGAACAACAGAATGCTTAGGTGCCATATTTGTGCTTGCAAAGGAAAGGGGAAGAGTGAACCCAAATGCCAGCTTCTCTTCTTGGAGGGATAAAGGAAACTGTCACTAGCTTTGCTTCTGGATGCATGGGGACATTTGTTGCTCATTGAACGATGATGAATGCTGCGTGTTTCTATTTATGAAACAGAATGAGAGGGGTGGTAGGGACTGTTGGAAAATGAAACCTCACTTGGTTGCTCCTGATTCTGTGCCTCCTCATCTCAGGTCCCTGAGCAACATGGGAAATGGTTCAGTGAAACCCAAACATTCCAAGCATCCAGATGGCCACACCGGGAGCCTCAGCACTGATGCCCTGCGGAGCAAGGTGACGGAGCTGGAGAGAGAGCTGAGGAGGAAGGATGCTGAGATTCAAGAGCGGGAGTACCATTTGAAGGAGCTGCGGGAACAGCTGTCGAGACAGACCGTGGCCATTGCTGAGCTCACGGAGGAGCTCCAGAACAAGTGCATCCAGCTGAACAAGCTTCAGGATGTGGTGCATATGCAGGGAGGAAGCCCACTCCAGGCCTCTGTGGATAAAGTGCCTCTTGAGGTCCACCGGAAGACCTCGGGATTGGTCTCTCTCCATAGCAGAAGGGGAGCAAAGGCCGGGGTGTCTGCGGAGCCCACAACCCGAACCTATGACCTCAACAAACCCCCTGAGTTTTCCTTTGAGAAAGCGAGAGTCAGAAAGGACTCCAGGTAAGAAGTTCCATGCCGTTTTAACTCAGATGGCCTTAATGTTAAGAAGGACCAGAGTGATAACTATGAAGGCTTTTGAATGGTGAAGAGCATGTAAACTCTCAGATGTGGGGCTAGAGGGAATTCTCAAATGGTTTTGTTTTACAAAAGTATCTCTCATTAAGTAAAAATTTTCTTTAAAGCAAAAATTGCACTTTATGTGGACTTTGAGGTATAGAGATATAAATGCAGACATAATGAGTTGCTGAGTTTACTAAAAGCCCTTTCCATTATCTTACAATCCCTGGAGGAGTGAGGAGGTAGGTTTAGGAAGTCTATACTTCTTTTCTTTTAGAGTAGACCTAAAAATGTACACAAATCATAATAAAATATGAATATGTATAGCAAAAACCACTTCTGAGTAGTTAAAAGGAGGCTGACTTCATTCATTCGCTATACAGTTTATGTTGAGCACTGTTCTCTGCCAGCCACTGTGTTGATTGCTTAAAATAAATATTCCCAGATCCTTTTTTGTGGAGGAGATTGTATACCCAGAAACAAATAAGAGATGTATAATTATTAATTGGGTTAATGTTGTGATGGAAACCAGCAGTATAATGGGTTGTGTTGAGGGTGAGGGGGAAAGGAAGGAAGCAGGAAAGAGGAGCAGAATTGTGGTGAAGGCCTGGTTGAGGTGGTGACCTTGAGCTGAAATACAAAGGTCAAAACCAACCAAGTAGAGACTAAATGGAAAGAACGTTTTAGGAAGAGGGGACAATTAAAAGCTAGAATGCATTTTAAAAGTTAGAATTTTTTTCTCTTTAAAAATTTTTTAGTTAACATAATTGTGCATATTTATGGGGTACAGTGTGATATGTCAACACATGTATACCGCATGTACTGGTCAACTAAAGGTGATTAGCATTTCGATTTCTTTATCATTTATGTTTGGAGCAAAAATTAGAAATTTTAAAAGAACATATAAATATCACAACAGTCTTGTGTGTATATGAATATATATATATATGCATGTATATATTTTTCTGGCTTAAGTTTGATTTTCCTGACCAGGAAAGATTGATTACAAATATAAGTTAGGATTCTCCTTTTGCATGGTTTTTAAATAAGTAAATATTTATTAGCTGAAATGAGATCTTTTGCCTTACTATTGCTGTGGCTGAGCCTGAATCACTGTGGCATAATGCAAGAGATTGTGAAATTAAATCAATTTTTAATTTTTTCATACACAAGTAATATAAATCAGAATAAAACTTTCAACCTAAGCAAATAAAAGATTGATTTTGACAACAAAATTACAAAGGGGGGTTTAACTCATCAATTTGTTGACAGCATTTGGTGGCATGTATGAAATTATTGATAAATATTTGTTAAGGAAACTAGTCATACTGGATTATTAATCATAATATTCTGTGACTGAAAAATATGATTAATATTAGCTTTCAGGAAAGTTTTATTAAGCCATATGTTTTATTATTAATTGGTTTAGAAAGATCTTATCTACTCTCCTTTAAAAGTAATACTTGTCTTAATGCTGTGTCTCTCACTTGTTTTTCAAAATTGAACAGCATCCCGTGTTACTTTTTGATATATCAGAGACATTTGAACTTATAGTAATATTGCATATTATTCATTATGCTACATATGTGTACATAAATATATTATGACTAGCAATATGCTTTCATATGTAGGACAATGTGTCAGAGACTTTAGTAGCAATTCATCTTCTTTGACCTTATCCTTACATAGGCTACTAGATTTCTCCTCTTGAATGAAGATTTTGTTCAATTACTTTGTTCAAAGAGTTATGCTTATTTTAAGACAAAATACCATTTTCTTGGTGCTAAATAATCTGAAATAAGCATATTTCTTTGAATTTCTTTATTAGCTCTTTTATAACCAGGCAAAGAAAATCAGTAATTACATGCTGTCAATTTCTGAGACAAACTGCATTCCTTTTCTTCTGTCTAGTGAGGGACACAGGAAAGACATCATAGCTTCTGAATAAGGATTATCAATGACTATTCTCACCCTAAAGGCAGACCACGTGGGTACCAGTCTATGTTGAGGTCAGAATGAGGAAATGAACTAATTTGTTTCTTAATGATTGGTCCTAAAAAGAGCAAACTAGATCATTCATGCCCTAAAACGTTTCATCTGCTTTTTCAGAGCCTTGTGCTTCTAAATTAAAAAAAAAAAAAAAAAAAAACAGAATATGGAGTCATTCTGTTTTCATTGACTGATATGTACCACACTTTCCCTTGAAAAAAGTATAACTATGTCTCTTGAAATAATTGCTTAAACACAGCTAATTTCATCAATTCAGAGACTGGATTTTTTCGTTTTTCATTTCTAACAATTTGTTTTTCATTTCCAAGAAGTTCTAATTCAGAAGAAAAACAAATGTAAACCTTGAATATTTTTAATATCTCTTTTATGCAATATATCAAAATTTTGTAAGGAAGAATTTTCTAGAAGTTAGAGCATTAAGAAGATGGGAGCATCTTCCACCGCTAAAAGGATTATGTACATTATGTAGTGGTTTAGCTACTCTATCAAGCAGGGCTTGCTAGATATTAGAGAATTTAAGAGCCTCAGTCAAAATGACTTCTCTGTTTATTCTTAGTTCTCATGATTTATTTGTCAAACTTTTTATAAACTTTACTAGCTGAATCTAAGATTAAATCTTGTTCCTACTACATATGTATCAACTACATTTTGGATAAAGTTTACCCTTCACACTGGGTAAATAGAAAGCCATTGGATGGAGTTTCAGTAATTTTGTCAAAAGGAATGAATGTCTCTAGTAAGTATTTATCACAGAGCAAGAAACTGAGGGGAGACTACCAAGTCTCCCACAATCAACAATTATTAGGGAAATATGAAGCCCTGATAGATGGCAGAGTATACAATATGATGGAATGACAGATTCCAAATTTGAGGATTCAGATTCAGTAATTCACAAGAAACTCTAACTCATGAACATCAGTGTGTGATTTCCTGAGTCTCCTGTGATCAAATGTATTGTGAATGATGAGTAACATGCTTCAGCTTCAGGGCTGCCCCCAGCTCATCCCAGCTTTGTTGTCTGATACCCAACAAGTAGACAGTTAGTGTCCAAGGGAATAACTTAAACTGTGTACTTGTACCTCTGTTCTTTATAGAGAGGAACATATAATGGTACTTTAATGGTACTGGGGAATCTGGACATTTGTCTCACAAAATTCTCAGGTTCACTTTTTAGGATCTGGTTCTAAAGTAGTTCAGTGTTGTGTAGTTGAAACTTCTGCAGTGACAGAAATTTTCTGTAATCTGTATTCAACAAGATGGTAGCCAAAACCCAAATTTGGCTACTAGGTAATTAAAAATTTGGCTGCTATAACTAGGGGACTGGATTTTTAATTTTAATTCATTGGAAAATTAAATACCCACATGTCTAATGACTGATGAACTAGATATTGCAATTCTAGACTATATGGTTTAGATGGCAACTGCTATGGCGTGAAATGAGAATTATGATCTAGTGCAGTTTGGGTATACTTTATGGACAAAGTAAGACCAGTGTGAAATTTTATGAAGCCACAAAAAATAAGAATATGACTCTTAGATTGAGGTGGGCCCTAAATGGAATTGCTGGGAAGCTGCACTGGAATCTTCATAATCTTTTGTAGTGACTTAGCCTTGTGCCTGTGGACCATTTTAGATCTTCAAAAGCATATAGCTGTGCAGACATGTAGCCTGTTTCTATTATAGGCACTCAGCTTTTTTGCATTATTATAAAATCACATGACAAGTCAGAGTACTAGCAAATATTCTGATCTCTGATTTAAATGTAATAAGGTGAACATCAGAAGACTTTAGAACTAGAAGAAAATTAAACATTATTTCATGCTACCCTCCTGGAGATTGCAGAAACAGGTGCAGGGGAGTTATAGAATACACCATGAAAGGTGGTAGAGCCAGGATTGGAATATAAGACTCCTGATTTTGAAACCAGTTCTTCTTCTCTGCAGTCCTGCTCTAGTGTTTTCAGATCTGCCTGCAAAAATGAAAAAAAAAAAAAAAAAAGGCCTCTAGTCAGACTAGTTTGGGCACCAGTCTACTTTTTGATGATATACCCAGTTGACTGGTAATAAGAACAATGGTGCTCCCTGCATCTTCCATGTGGAGCTGAACTGAGCTTGCCCTTTGCATAGTTGTCAACAAGAGCTGCAACCTCAGAGCTCTGACTGAGAGGAAAGGACATGGAGAATGGATTTCATCTATCTGATGGCCAAAACTGTGGTGTATATGGAAGGTCACATATGTGTCACGTATAGTGCTTCTTAAGGCTGAAGACTGGATATCAGTGGTAAAGAAGGACAGGGAGAAGAGCAGATAGCTTTTCTGTCCATCTCCAACCTGCCTTGAGCACGGAGACAACTACACATCCAGAGGTCAGACCTTTTACTGAAATTAAGTTTTCTGTTTATGTAGAGACATCGTTTAGCAAACTTCAGCACTGGCAGAGCAAAATTACAGGCTCATGCTGAATGTCTGGTGGAACACAGGAAAATTAATCAGAGACATCTGGCAAGTAGCTGTATGACTGGTTTTTTTGCTAAGAATGCTTAAACTATCATTTGAAACTATTGTTCTTTCATGAAAAGGAAAGATAAAACAAAGACTTGCCATCTGACTTCAGATGTTGGCTCCAGTTTTAGGAAGGACAATTAGTTGTATTTGTCATTCCCGCCCCAGGAGCAGGATAGGTAAAAGTGGAAAATGCAAGTGAGTCACACATTTAAATAAGATGTGGAAAAGGAGTGAGGGAGAGTATGTTGTTATTATTTGTGCTCGTTTTCTAAAGCAGCACTGAGGAATCGATAGTGCATTGGAGAAATGTGTTTCCTTTATTAAATAAGAAAGTTTCTATGGAAAGAAACAATATTTATACATCGCTAATCTGTGCTAGCCCATTCTGAATGCCTCACAGATATTGAGTCATATAATTCTCATGATAA